ACCGGACGTCCGGTGCAGAACGGATATGAAACCGGGGAACGTGGACGGTCATCGATAACCAAGAATTTTCGAATCGCACGGCCGACGAATGACTGCGAATTAATCGGACTTCTACGGCAGATGTATCCGCGTTCGCGAGTAATTAGACCGTGGATCTTTGCGCATTTATGGCATTTCGAAATCTCCGGAATAACGGAAATCGTGTATAGAAATAAGAATTAATAATGTACTTTTTTATCTCGTTGCCATGAGGTTTCTTTCAGTGTATAAAGATACTTTGTTTTTAGTTCAATCTTCAGTATGAAAATTATGTGTGAACCGACTTAATGACTTTCATTTAACTTTCATTTAACTTTTATTTAACAACTAAGATATAACTAAGTAATATAATTACATTACTTACTAAACTATTATTATTATATACTATATTATTATTATAGTATATTACATACTATAATATTATATACTAATATTATTATTACTATACTGAAATAATTAAAATATAACTAATATAACTAAAATGTAACTAAAATTACTAAAATAGAACTCAAATGGTATTTAAAACTCATTGCACGAATACAGCGATGCGCATAATTATAGACTCAAAGTAATTTCTACACCGTTGAGGTTATTTTTAATAATTACAAGATAATTATTTATACAGGTGATTTATATTATTACAGTAATAATAAGCTCATTTTTAATCATTTTTAATCATTGTTACAGCTTAGCGAAACCTTAACAAAATACCATATTCGTATATTTATGTTTCCTATTGTCTCTAATAAACACACAAACACAATATTTCTTTAAGTCTTTATTTAGGTATCGGTAATAGAATAAAAATCACTCGGAGTCCATAATTATTCTTACCATCGCTTCGAAACAATAAACTTGCTCATTCGTTGCATAACATAAAAATTGACCAGAAAACCATTAAATCGTCATCGTTATCGTGCGACGTCCAGAAAGCTCGACTTCGTCGAGAAGCGTTTCACAGGCCGGCGCAAACAATGCAGCAAACGATCTGCTTATCAATTTTTATCGGCGATTCCCCGGCGTTCGCGTTATCCGAAGTGAAAGGCCGCGGAATAGGCGAAAGGTGAAGGTCGCATCGTTCGAAAAGAATTTCATATCGGGAGCACGCGAGCCGGCCGGCCGCCCGCGAAATTCCTGTGTAATTTTCCGTTTCCGGTCGCGGGGACCTCGCGTGGGTCCTGGCAGGATCACCCTGCCCATGATTCCCCAGCTCGCGGGGCCTTCCGAAAATTGAATCGGTCGCGTCGCGGTCGCGCCGGGTGCCGTCGGCGAGGGTCGAGGTCGGAAGGTCAGGTACCGTTCGCTATTTAGAGCAGGACCTTGGCGCCGTTCTTATCTCGAGCGGCGCGAGAGAACGGCGCGCGGGGGCGGGGGTGAAAAATAGAAAGAGGTACACGCGATGCCGTGTCGGTGGCCAAAGATACAAGGGAAAGTTTCCCGGGCACAAGTGGTCACGTACCGGCTTTGTCAGACGCAGGCTATCTCCGCGAAAGATCTAGCCTCGAAAAATCCTTCTTTCTTACGCTCGCCGGCGTGCTTCTTGCTCTATCCGCCTACCCCCTTTCCTCCTACACCCCTCCCTGTCTCTCTTTATTGGCCAAGCTCCGGCAAGCTGCCGGAGCTTTCTGTTTCACGGATCGATCCTCGTCGAACGTATCGGCGACCCTCGATCTGGATTTTCGCTTCGTTACGACGTTTCGTGCACCCCGTCCCGCCCCGCGCCAAGGGATCAAGTTCAACCGACACTCTCTAGTGGCAAACAATTCGATGTCCGAGGCGCTCCGTCCGGATCAATTAACACTCGTGGAAACTAACTACAGCTGGGCCTTGATCGAACAGGGTAAACGGACAAACGAGTCGGATAAACCGAGATTAGGGAGGAATGATTCCCGGAACGTTTGTTCTGAGTCGAACGAGATTTTTTATTACGAAATAATAAATATTATATGATAATTATATACATATTATATTATATAATAAATATAATAATATAATATGTTATATAATAAAAAGAAAATATTAATATTTTGATGTAAGGGAGAAGTGCCATGAAGGGGGCGCTTTTGTTTCGACAGCGACATGAAAAACGATTAAAGGAAAAAATTCTGCATGGAACCAGTAACCCAAATTAACCGAGGAATTATTAATTAATTATGTCTAACTCGTCGTTCCACAATGGGGACTTGTTTCCTCTCAATGAGAAATCCAATGATCACGTTTAAATAACAAGAATTCTTTTTCACTCGTCGATCATTTGTTCCGACAAAATATTTCATGGCTTTAAAAGCTCTAAAATATATAAATCAAATATTTCCAACGTGCACCGAATCGATCCAATAAATAATCGGGGACGAAGAAGTTTTAATCGCGTTGGCCGGGAAGAACGGGCCAAAGTAAGGGGTTAATTACTGTCTCCGCGAGCTGGTCCAGAAAAGTGTAACGCCGACAGCGGTAGACCAGTCCGCAAGATATACAATAACAGGGCAGAAAAGTGGTTGCGACTTGGTTTAGAAATAGGGCGCGCGAACTTTCGTTTCTGTTCGCCGCTGACGTCGCCGTCGGCCATTGAAAGGGGACCATTGTCGTGGACCACATTTTATAAGTAAACACGTGAAATAGGCGCACGTGCGATACAGCTGCACACATTGTGTGCCGAGTGTCCGTAACTGGCTCGAATACCGTCCGTCAGTGTTCGAGCGTGCTCATTCAGACTGTGCGGATGTTCATACAAACACATAGACTTTCGCGGACTAATTTAGAGAAAGCGCGATCGAACGGACGCGCATCTGCGCCGCTTTTATCGGGCGAACCGCGCGAAAATCGCTCGAAACAGCTTCGCGAAACTTTTTACCGTCGTCAGAATTTCAGGTAACGATGGTTCGGTGTCGTAAAATTCCTTATAGTTCGCGTGGCACCTGGCCCGCCACTAATTTCCTGCTTCGTCGAATACTCAACGAGAAGAACAACTACTCCGGTTTCCTGATAACTTCGTCGCGAGCTTTTCACAATTAGCGGTATCAGTGAAAATTACTCGCTAGATTCCAAACACAATCACCTAGACAGTATAAGTTTCTGTTACGCTAATTTCTGTAAATTAATACATCATCAAAGGTAGCGTACGTTGTTTCAAGACTCACCCAATTCTGCAGGTACACGACAGTTTTCGTATCGAATGCATGGGTTACGGCGATGGTGAATTAGCAACATTACGAGTTGGACCTTTGGCGCTTGGCAGTTTCGCATCTGGAACTTCCACTTCGTATCCTGAGAGGCTCTCTCTTTCGGAAGTGTAGTCAAGACGGCGAACTTGTTTCGTGGCACAATTAAGCTGCGCCTCGAACTGTCAGGCAAAACGGTTAGCAGCCTCGTTTCTCGAAGCAATTTAACGTCAATGGAGCGCCGAATTGTAGCCCCTATTCACCGGGTCGTTTATCGACCGACAAAGGAACGGTGGCAAAAGGGGTGCGTGAAGACTTCCGGTGACCAAAAGAGCCTCGGAATATTCGTTTCGCGTTATAAGAACCCGCTGTCGTCGCCTTCCGAACGAAATTGCTTGGAGAATTCAATAATGCGCCGCTCGGTGAACAACGTGGGAGAATAGAAAATTCATACGGCGCGGCTTCGACCTGCGACAAAATTTACGAGAAAATTAGAAGAGTATTAGTATTAATTGGTATTAGTATTAGTGTACGTGGATAAAATTCTTCCGCTACCAAACATTTCAAAATGTGTAATATATTATACATAATCACGTATTTAATTTATAATTTAATAATATATAATTGTATACTATTATATATAAAATCTATATTCCGGTGAATATATTATATATAATTCCGAAAATTTGTATAAAATATATATTTTATACATTATATATAAATAATAATAATAATTTAATTCTTCGTGTCCTTTATAATTGTCGAGGGTGCTTCATTTTTTCACCCTAATCTTTCCACATCGCTTTCCAATTGTTTAATAAAACGTCGATATCCGTCCCTCGTTGAACTCATCCGAATTCGATAAACGTTCAAGTACTGCAGACACTTCCAAGGACATCGTAATCTTCGGCATCCGAGGTGCTCGACCCCGTCGTCGTTCGCCAAAAATGTTGTGCAGCTACGGGAAACGATTGGAACGAAAGTTATTTCCGATCGGGGCGCATTCGTCCTCGGGAACGTCCACGGTGTGTCCTCGTTATAGTAATTTCGTTAGGCGCGCAGGTAACTCTGCCGCATCGCGAATGTTCCTGGACTTCGGGAAACGAGATTAGGGCAAATCTGTGCGAGCAAGTTGCGGGTCTGACTGTCCGTACTCCATCCATCGGGTCGGTCCGTGGAACTGGGAACAGTCTCGGCTACGGGGAAATTCAATTCGACAAACACTTTGTAAGCGGCGGGTTTTCCTTGGTCTCGCTTATCGTCGGACGGGCACCGAGACACTGCCGAAGAAAATTCGCGATAACTCGTCGTCGATGGGAACTTGGACGAACGTTCGCGGTTTAACGCAGTTCGGAACTGCACTTAATTGCAGAATAATTATCGCGACGGGAGACGCGACGGAATTAATGGACGATGTTCGGAATACCGATTCGGTCGATGCTGCGCGATTAAATAAACCCGTCGTGCAAAATTCACACGAAGTTATGCGAATTATGGGAACAATCTGTTTCAGGGGGACTCGTTTGCGCTTTAAGAGAACTTACGAATTGCGATATTGTCGCTTTTTAATTTGCCGTCTCGTGTTCAATTGTGCCACGTGTTTCCTTGCCAATATTCTTGCTATGTTTCCTAATATAATAACTTGGATTCTTATTCACTTAACAAATTGTCTGCATCAATTTCAGATAGATAACAAAACGAAAGTACTATTCATACTGTTCTAAATCCTATTTAAATATTTCGTGGATGCATGAAAGCCGCAGTCTATGACTAGATGGGTAATTATGCAGAGAAAAGCACAGGTTCGTGATTTCTTACATTATATTTTCTTTCAATAAATTATGTTTTTTTTCGGACAGACAGCAAAACTTTGTCTTATAGTCGAAAGTCGCATCGATTTCTTCCAAGACTCTATCGGAAACGTACAATTTACAGGCAACCCACCGGAATTAACGTCGTACAAATTGGAGTTGCCTAAGCTGCATGTGTTGCGCAGTAAGGGTAAAAAACACGCTTAGCAATGCTCGTGTGTCGTGGCCCTAAATGTTACAATCGGCATTTCGTGTACAACGTCGAACGCACGTTATTTACAAACATTTGCGGAAACATTTGGATCTTGTAATGTCTGTCCCCTTGTAATGTACGTTGTTCCGTATGTACGTCGACCTCAAATTAGCACTGAGACTTTTTCTTTACACTTTACCTACCGACGACTGGCCAATAATTTCTTCGCAACCGTTCAATACCGATAACAATTGTATCGGTAACGTATTATTTCAAGTTGTACGATCTAATAAGTTCTTCCGAAATTATCATTTAAAAATAAATAAAAGTTTTCGGTAGCTAAAGTGTCAGTTATACTATACGGCCTTAATTCCTTATGACGTGACTCGATTCTAACATTACATAATAATTACATGTTGCTAAAATAGTGACAAAAAGTATCGGTTGTTTAAGGCCATCGTTCCTACCACAGGGACTGTCACAGTAATTTCTATTTTGGCCCGTTTATATCTCTATTGTCGGTATGATTACTGTAATTAGGCATCTTTAGGTAGTAACAGTATTGAATGCAATTTCAGTGACGCAAATATGCGAGACAATACTCGCAGTTACGTCGGACTATTCGTCAACTTAATATATAAAAACTTTGTCATGTTTTTGTTTCAAAATTTGTATTTGCGTTCGACCAACACAAATATGTAAAGTTTGGTCAACGATAACAGCTGTTGTAGGATTTCATAGTTTCTACCTAAAAGAACTGTTTCCTCGCCACCAGTGTAAACGGTAAAAATTCATTAGGCATACTCGATTACATATATTACTATCTCATAGATATAAGTTAAGACGGAAAACAAAATTTTTACGACCACGTAAAATCTGTACTTAAAGCAACACGTACATCCTTTAATAAAACAAGAATATCGTCCATGTTGAACGATCATAAAAATAAAACAAAAAAGAAATTAAATATTTCTTTCATTCCGATAATGGTTCATATGTGATTATCGTGCACATGGACACGTAGAATACTATTGTAAAACACACACACATCTTTTTAACTCACCACACGCGACGGAAAGCTTCTTACTTTATCTCACCGATAATTCGAACGATTTTCTAATTTCGATGATTCCTTTCGGGGATGAAAAATCGATCTTGCAAATACCGTAAATGAAGCTACAGATGCAAAAATTGTTCTTCCGTAAGAAATAAAATATACGGTGTATAAAATGTATTAAGTAATTAATCCTATTATCCTCCGTTTCAACATCGTCCTGAAAAAAAGAAATAAAACACAACATAAACATTCCTCAAAATAGAGATTTTACATTCTCTAGTAAAACTATCTCAGTTCAATGCTAGGCCTGTACTTTCTGATCGTCTGCAAAGTATCAAAGAATGACAGTGTCGGCGCTATCATTTAAATCCTTATTACCCTATAAATTAAATAAGTGTCTAGATCACAGAAACTAAGCCGCCGCAACGTATGCGGGGCATTGCATTCATTGTTATCGTATCGTTTGAGACATATGTAATGGCGTCAACATCAATTCAAACGCTGTGTTCTTTAGATTTGCACCGCGCAAGTTTGCCTCTTGTAAATCAGACCCTGAAAAGTCGCAACACTGAAACAAACATCAACATTTTGTACCGAGTAAGAAAAAAAAACCCCATCATTTCAATCTGTTCTCTTAAATATCTACAAAATTATTAACAACAACTTACAATGAACATTTATTCTGTAAGTAAACGCATAGAGAACATTTAATAATCAATTGTATATTTAATTCATATATATTCAAATTATACCGACGATGCATTAAAAAATATGATTCCATTTAAAAGAAATGGATCATCGTCTGCTCTCGAAACGTTCACTTACCGAGAATTAAGTCTGTAGATATTTCAGAGGATTTAAATGGGACACCTTATAGAGTAGCAAAAAAATAATTACTTCTAAGTCAGCACCAGCCAGTATAGCCGCCCTGAGAACACAATTTCTTAGAATAGCATTTTTTAACGTCGCAACTCTAAGGTTTACAGCAGTCATGTTGCTGCCCTCGAGATTGGCACCTTTCAAATTGGCACCTTCCATGTTGGCAGGTGATCCAGCAGGATCTTCGAAATTACACGAATGTAGATTGGCCTCGAAAAGATTCGCGCATAACATTTTTACGCAGACGAGCTGAGCGCCGTGAAGATTTGCATAGGATAAATCTGCGCGATCGAAACAACAACCTGATAAATTCGCACCTGCTAGAGTACAACCGCGCATAATTGCATACTGCAAAAAATAATATGCTCTTACAGATAAATTTACGTTAATGCTAACCTAATTTTACGTTAAGTTAATGTTAGTTACCTTAAAATTAATATTCCTGAGATCTAACTTCGATAGATCAGCACCAACAAAATCAACACCTTGGAATCTAAGTTCTGAAATAACAGGCGTTGACATGATGGCCTTAAGTACATCTTTTCTCGTTAAGGATACTAATCCACTTTTTTGTTGATCCTCTTCGTCGACCATTGTAGTTAATATTTCAATAGCACCTTCTATTCCATAAAAACGTGCTTCTGCCAGAACACCTGGAGTTACAAATACAATGCCTTAATCGTATTCATAAGGAAATTATTTGCATCCGAAATTAAAGGCTAAGAAGTAGACATACCTGCTGCATTTACATTAGCATCGAGAATAATCTGCCCATGCCTTAAATAGTTTAATAACGGCTCAAAATATGTTGGACTCCTATCAATTAAAAATGCATCGTTCTGATCTTGTCTACTTGGTAAAATTCTCTGTTTATTGTTTGTTGTTTCAGTGAACATTCTGTAAATAAAATTCAGTGAAACAATAAGAAACAAATTACAGTAGCTGTATTAGTTCCGTTAAGCAAAATTTTAAATTACCTAGCTAACATACTCGTTGGTTCCTTTTTTGTTAACGTATCCCTGGTTGTGGTAAAGTATTTTCCACCAATGTTTAAAGTAATCCATTCTGAATTTCTATTTAACTGATTCTTCGTAATAGATTTATCCTTTGAAATAAAATCTTGACCATCTGAAACGTATAGGACATCATCATCCCTGTAAAATATGTATTTTTAATTGAGATTATTTTGCATACGGTTGCTATAAAGATTGCTATTTAAATCTGTTATCATACCGTATTAACTTAATGTCATCGATTTCTCCACCTTGCGATGTAAATATTCTTTTAGCACTCATATTAAATTTCGAGCTAGCAGATGCTAACAACTCATCTAGCGAATGAGTTATCATAAATACCTAGTAAAGAGAAACAGTTACACGTGTTATATTCATTCTTCGCATCAAACATCAATGATAATGAAATAATTCAATAATTTGAGTAACAGTATTCGCATTACAACATACAACATAAACGTTCATTGCAATGAATATAAAGAAACGTTTGAACAAACTTCTGTTTGCAAAATTCGTTTATTATAATAAAATTTGGAGAAAAAGGTAAAGACTGCATACATATGTCAATAGGTTATTGTTTATAAGCAAATCTTCACGATATATATATATATATATATATAATAATTATACAGTACAAATGGTCAACGATACAACAAAATTTTATACAGATACATGTATACGATGTACAGTAATGTATATAAGACCTATGTGTAAAATAAGAGTTAATAAACAAAATAAATCAGAGGAAATTATCGAGAGTATTAAATTTATCGTAATTCGTTACAATTACAGATAAAATTACAGCCACCTTGCCGTTTACATCGGTTCCGTTGACAAACAGAATTACCCTCTTCATAACTAATTAAAGACAAAAATCAGTGTAATACAAAAAATGACTACAGTAGTGCCTCACCATAGTAAGCCAAGGCGGGGGCAACCGGCGTAGAATTATGAAGCGGGTAGAGAAACTGCTTCTCCTGTGATTGGTGAACGTTTCGCAGCTGAACAGTGCTGCCCTCACACTTCTAGAGAACACACTCGCGAAAAAAGCGAGACCAAAATCACAGAAAAGTGAGAAAAACTAGATGGTCTTCGGTGTGACTTGTTACACTTGCGGTTGCACCGACGTCGTTCACTCTTGCTCACTCGCCACTTCACTCCTTGTCTGGAACTGTGGGGGCAGCACTGTCAGCTGTGAAGCGTCAACCAATCAAAGAAGGAGCAGTCCCCTCTACCTGCTTCATACTTCTACGCCGCGCCGGTTACCCCCACCATGGTGTGGAGGTACTGCGCAGTTATACTTTTGGGTGGCGTTCAGTTTAACCGTGGATCTCGTTGGTCTTGTTGATTGAATGTAATAGTCCAGGTGCTTAATAATTCGCGTGTGACAAGATAGTCTACTTTACGTAAAGATAACAGAAAAATTGTGGAAATCCTGCTTACCCGCTAGACGAAGCGATTCTCGGTGACATGAATCGTACTACCGGTGTCATAGAATTCGTGTCACTGTTGTTCTCGCCAGATTCAAATGTCTCGTTTTGTTAACGAATATTCCACCGTTCTCTATGAATATCCTCGAATGCAGAAATGCAAAGTTTCTATAGAGATGTTTTATTCTCCCATCTCTTCCGGCGTGAGGCCCATCCACCACCTTCGTAATCTCCTTGCGTGAGTCCTTCTTGCTGTGAGTCCAACGCAACTCCCTCTATTACTTTTCCATGCATGGACAGTTTTCGCGTTCGAGACGAACAATTATATACCTACTGTTAGTGCGTCCAATTCTACTAAATCGCTCTAGAACCAACCTAAGCTGTCCACACCGGTGACCTTTAGGCTATAGTCCAATGACACCTGGTAAGTGTTATTCTTCAAGTATCACCGTTTTTCATTTGTAAATAATACTTCTAACGTTGTTTTCTCACAGGAGTTGCAGGCAGTCCCTATGCCCTACTAATGGCATACTACAAACATTGAGGTTAAAATTCGGGATATTCATCAGGATCTTTTGCTCGCTGGACAACAGGGTGTTCGAGAAATATCCGTGAGTATTATCGAGCATACTTTCAAGTTCACAGTGTATTTTCTAAAAAGGATTATTTCGACAAAAGTATATAAAAAAAACGTCCTTAGAAATGTAAACAAATACGACCGTTGTAGCTACGAGTGTTACGAGTACGAACGGTTAAAATTCAAAATATTTCACGGTGGAGAAAGTAACCTTGAACAGTTGAGAGTATTTATGATTGGAATCTATTTACAGGTTGGCTGTCTTCTTGCCAGTTGAAGATAGAGTCATGAACCTGGTCTGCGGGGAGCTCGAACCAGTGGTACCCTCGCGAGGTGACAGGGTCAAGATTATAATCGATGAAGACGGAGAAACTGTAGACACGCTACTTTCCATAGACAACGAAGAGAGTGTAGTGAAACTGAACAAGGACAAGGTGAAAATGTTGCACCTGCGATTTTTATGTAAAATGGAGCCCGCGAACACGTGATTGTTCATTCCACGACAGATCGCTAACCAGCGTAGACAATTTCATAGAATAACAAGAACTATTATTTAAGTTGACCATAAAATTTTGCGGCGTACCGCGCTTTGCGTTTACGTAGCGCATTCTAGAAATGTAAAATAAATACGTATTATTACTGTAAAAAAAACTAAAGCGAACCCCTTTTTGCAACGACTATAAAGGCACAAATGTAATTTTAAGGGTTCGATAAAAATAATTATGTTTATAAATTGTTCTGTAGAAAGTATAACGGCTGTGCAACGACGGTACAGAGTAGTTTAACGACGACCGATGCTGAAAAGAATAAGAAAAGAAACGCAATTTTTCCCGCGAAGATCTGCAAATATCACACGGTCCGAATTATCGTCGCATCGAGCTGAAATCAGTCGCGTAACAAACGCGAGAACGTGCCGACGAGATAATGATTGGGAGATGTTTAAATGAGAAGCGCAATTTTTCCGGAACACGGCAAGGAAAAATCGCGTTACTCCGGATATCATCAATTGGAGTATGAGATTATGCTTCCCGCGGCTGCTTCTGTGGTTTGCGGCGACAACTTTCATTGAGGTCGACAGGTACGCGAGCACGATCGCGAGATCCGAAGCTCCCACGTTTGGTTAAACATTTTTATTACGAAATATTTCCACGAACGTTGCATTAAATGCTTGCGTAACTGCATTGTGATAGGGTAATGGGTGATAACGATTTAAAGCGCGAACAAAATGTCGGCACGTCACTGTTCGAGAAAACCGACGCTGGTAAGCAGTGCTGGACTACGGAGGATTTCATTTTGTTAAATAGTAGACGAATGTTCCAAGATTTACTGCCAAAGGTAATTCGATCTGCCATTAACAAATAAAGTCCTCGAATGAATCGATTCATTTTGTTACACAATTATCGTCTTCTAAATTGTATGTCCGGTATATTGTAAACCGAATTTTTATTTTTTAATTCTTCGACAATAATACTTCTCTGTACATCGTTTTTCTATTTTTATAGTACTAATAAACGAGAAATAAATTCGTTTCACTCTCTATACTGCTTATACTCTCAACTCTTGAGTGTACTTTAAAAAATCCGCTTGAGAATGCAACATCTATTAAATATGGAAAAGGCCTACAGGAAATGTTTATTCTTTTCCAGCAGATTATGCATGGAACAGAGCTAATCGATCAGATCAACGATAGAGTTATTTAAAAGTATTTGACTACATTATTATTACATTCGTTTAGGTCGATCTATTTGCATTAACAATGTATTTAGATAATCGAGGTTCCACTGTAGCTCTAACATAAATTGTCTAACACTTAATATTCATTTTTATCGAATTAGTAAATAAAAATCAATTTTCCTTTGGGCCCTTATTACCCTGATCCTGAAATAATTCGCATCAGCGCGAGCTGACGGACGGTTCACTTAAGGGTTGAAATGACAATTCGAGCGTCGTTCTCGCCATGATAACAGATTTTTCAAAAGCTCCATGTGATCGGCTCAGGTTCAAGTCCTGAATTACGAGGACGATCGGTACATAGCCCTGCTGATGGATTACTTTCACATCTGTTTGGAGAGCGTGCGCAAGCTGTCGATCGGGAAAACGAAGCACCTGATGCTGAAAGCCCTGGCAGATACTATGGGAGGCTACTTGCAAGTTTATATCCTGCCCCTTACCAGACACTCCTATTACGCAGGGAACATAAAATATCGGAACGCGAGGAAGCTCTTCGAATTGTACGAGGAGCTGAAGCTTTTCCTGAGAAGCAACGGAGCCGGCTGGCTGAAGCCCTCCATGGAAAAGACACGGACGAGGATTCAACCGATCGTGGTTACCGCGCCGAAAACGTCTGCCGCGTGCGAGGGCATCATAACAACGCCCCCATGTAAGATTATATCGGTCTTCCCTTGAGAGAAATGCTCGCTGGAACTTAATCAGTTCGATGGAGAGTTCCCTGGGATTCTATGCACGATGTGTCTAGACGATTCCGCCGTTCGCGGTTCTTGCATTTTCCAGACTCATTTCCTGAATAACTTATTCTTTCTTGATGATCTCACCGGGCTGTTATCACAGTATATGTATATTTCAGTATAAAATTACATCTAGGAGCCTGGTTGAATTAAACATGGAACATTTTCTTTATTTATAGTCTCGCTGGACTTTTATAGTATTTATTATATTCGCTGTTATATTATTTAATAGTAGTATTAGTTTCTTTAAATGGTTTTTATTTTTATAGTCTCACTGGACTATTATAGTATTTATTATATTTACTACTATATTAAATTAATGATAATATTACTTTCTTAAAAAAGATTTTTATTATTATTGAATAATATTACTATGTGGTCTTAGCTGCATCCAATCACAACAATCGGCAGATTCATCACTCGGCGTTCAAAAAGACGAAGAGGCACGCATCCAAACATAAATCGTCCAAAAACATGAAACGAAGTAAGCTCGACCATATTGTATTTGCAGAATAATTAAAAGAAAGCTTGCTTCGTTGAAAGAATCTTACACGTTTTGAATTTTAATTACAGACGAATCTACAAAGAGAGAAGAATCGTTCGGTATCCCTCTTCCCTTTTTGGACAACGACGCAGAACCGAACAGGTATCGAAAAATCGATTAGTTGCCATAGATTAGGGGTGAGCCATCGAAGTATAGTTAGTTTCTACCTTTTGCAATCGATGCAAAGAATTTTTATTCTGCATAAAAATCCACAGTCTAGTCACTTATTACAGTAAAATCTCCCCAATTTTCTTTCAGCTTATAGAAACAAAAATGGACAATTTGGGAAGAGCAGACATTTGGCTCATTTTTATAGTCATCGATTGTCTACTATTATAAAAACGAGGTGCAAGGCTCGAATAATCGTATCTCCTCTTCCAAAATTGTCCATTTTTGTTTACAAGCTGAAGGGAGATTAGGGACTAATAATAAATTACTGTAAAATAATAAATTATTGTACTTGTTAATTTCCTTAAAGTACACAAATCGAGGTCATGATATCACTTCACTCCCTAAAATGAACTATCTATTTACACATCGTAAAGATCACAAAAAACGACATGTTCTCCCACTCGTCGCGCGAGTGGGAGAACCGGCCGAGCGATGGTAGGGGTGTCGCATGGCTCTTTACGGAAAAGAAGTTCGTCGCTCCTAGCATGGACAATCGGTAGATCGCGGATTTTTATGCGACGTGAAAAATCGTCGTTAACAATTGCAAGAGATAAAAGCTAAATAGCAAGCATATTCTTTCCGTAATCATCTCTCGACAGATTAAAAGTAACACATTGATATTTTCAAATGCTTTCAAAGCATTTTCTTTGCATGCTTTTCTTTGTAACACTTCAAATCGAATTATTTTCTTTTCTTTTTTCTAGTATCGCGTTACCGTTCAAGAAGAATAGCCTGCAGTCATTGTACACCGAAGAATCGGCGTTCGTGCTGGTGAAGTACTACGTTGCGAGTGTGAAGTGCATCGAGTCGAAATCAATCTCGAAAACAAAGCAGCTGAAATCGTTCAACCAGGAGTTTTCCGATTGGCTGCAGCAATCCGTACGTTGTGAGTCGCTGTGATCAAGAGTGGCAATTTTCATTGTATTCTCACGATCGAAAGGGGGCGGTACAGATATTAACAGAATCGACGACCGGGGTCACGGATTACAGTAAATTCTCTCTTCGGTAAATTCCCTCAGCTTCGTAAACGAAAATCGACGATTTAGGAGGGGGTGATACGGATTATTCCACCCTTCCGGCTCGTTGTCATAGTTATTGACAATCGGCGATTATAAAAACGAGCCGCGCGAGGCTCGAATAATTGCATCTTTTATACCAGAATTGCTCGTTTTTGTTCACAGGCTGAGGGAGATAGTAAATAAATGAAATGTAATATATAAACACATAGTNTGCATCCAATCACAACAATCGGCAGATTCATCACTCGGCGTTCAAAAAGACGAAGAGGCACGCATCCAAACATAAATCGTCCAAAAACATGAAACGAAGTAAGCTCGACCATATTGTATTTGCAGAATAATTAAAAGAAAGCTTGCTTCGTTGAAAGAATCTTACACGTTTTGAATTTTAATTACAGACGAATCTACAAAGAGAGAAGAATCGTTCGGTATCCCTCTTCCCTTTTTGGACAACGACGCAGAACCGAACAGGTATCGAAAAATCGATTAGTTGCCATAGATTAGGGGTGAGCCATCGAAGTATAGTTAGTTTCTACCTTTTGCAATCGATGCAAAGAATTTTTATTCTGCATAAAAATCCACAGTCTAGTCACTTATTACAGTAAAATCTCCCCAATTTTCTTTCAGCTTATAGAAACAAAAATGGACAATTTGGGAAGAGCAGACATTTGGCTCATTTTTATAGTCATCGATTGTCTACTATTATAAAAACGAGGTGCAAGGCTCGAATAATCGTATCTCCTCTTCCAAAATTGTCCATTTTTGTTTACAAGCTGAAGGGAGATTAGGGACTAATAATAAATTACTGTAAAATAATAAATTATTGTACTTGTTAATTTCCTTAAAGTACACAAATCGAGGTCATGATATCACTTCACTCCCTAAAATGAACTATCTATTTACACATCGTAAAGATCACAAAAAACGACATGTTCTCCCACTCGTCGCGCGAGTGGGAGAACCGGCCGAGCGATGGTAGGGGTGTCGCATGGCTCTTTACGGAAAAGAAGTTCGTCGCTCCTAGCATGGACAATCGGTAGATCGCGGATTTTTATGCGACGTGAAAAATCGTCGTTAACAATTGCAAGAGATAAAAGCTAAATAGCAAGCATATTCTTTCCGTAATCATCTCTCGACAGATTAAAAGTAACACATTGATATTTTCAAATGCTTTCAAAGCATTTTCTTTGCATGCTTTTCTTTGTAACACTTCAAATCGAATTATTTTCTTTTCTTTTTTCTAGTATCGCGTTACCGTTCAAGAAGAATAGCCTGCAGTCATTGTACACCGAAGAATCGGCGTTCGTGCTGGTGAAGTACTACGTTGCGAGTGTGAAGTGCATCGAGTCGAAATCAATCTCGAAAACAAAGCAGCTGAAATCGTTCAACCAGGAGTTTTCCGATTGGCTGCAGCAATCCGTACGTTGTGAGTCGCTGTGATCAAGAGTGGCAATTTTCATTGTATTCTCACGATCGAAAGGGGGCGGTACAGATATTAACAGAATCGACGACCGGGGTCACGGATTACAGTAAATTCTCTCTTCGGTAAATTCCCTCAGCTTCGTAAACGAAAATCGACGATTTAGGAGGGGGTGATACGGATTATTCCACCCTTCCGGCTCGTTGTCATAGTTATTGACAATCGGCGATTATAAAAACGAGCCGCGCGAGGCTCGAATAATTGCATCTTTTATACCAGAATTGCTCGTTTTTGTTCACAGGCTGAGGGAGATAGTAAATAAATGAAATGTAATATATAAACACATAGTGAGTAAATAAAATATAATAAATACATAATAAATAGATAGAATATAGTAAATAGATAGAATACAATAAATAAATTTACTGTATCTCGAGTACAGTAAATTCTCCCCAATTTTCCTCCAGCTGGTGAACAAAAATGGACAATATAATCGCCGATTGTCAACAATTATAAAAACAAGGTGCTAAGCTCTTCCCAAATTGTCCATTTTTTGGTACAATCCGGGGGTGTCCGCGAATCAATTTACTGCATTTCTGTAGGCGCACGCAATAAATATAAATTTTCTGTTTCACGTAGCTACGAAAGAAATAATAACGCGAACTGTTTAATAACTAAGAAATGTGATCTCACCGATGCAGGTGGAACCTCGGCTGGACGACGAGAAATGGTACCCGGGTTTCGGCGGCGTTTTGAGGGTGATTTCGTCGCTGCAGGATTCGGGTACGTTATCCCGTCTCTAACGAACAATTTTCCGATCGTTCTCCGGGCGTCGTTTTCCCGTCGCAGGTGCTGGAACCGGTCTCACGACGTGGAGAAAAAGCGGTGCCTACCATGCGATGCCGAAAATGGAAGGGCAGGCGAGCGTCGAGCCGGAGGAAGCCGCGCCACCGCTTTATAAAGGTGACGAAAGAAAGCGGTGCTCATCATCGTCGAATTTCCCGTCAGTGTCTCCGTTCTCTCTAAATGTCTCCCGTGATTTCTTCCGACGAATGCAGATGGGAACACCGGGATCGTGTTAGGAACCACGGAATTGATATCGATTGCCGTAGTCAGCGCGCTGCTCGTGTGGTTGCTGGTCGGCCTGAGCCTGGTGTGTTACAGATACCTCGTGAAACACTCGGACGAGTGTGGCCCTTGCGAGCCGCAGCAGCCGCCGTACGTTTCATTCTCGATCATTCTCACGTTTCCCATTGTTCGAATCGGGGCCCATTAGGCCCCGCCGCACGCATGCGCGTTCATTCGCGTTGCGTGCTATTTTAACACGGTCTTTTAGCACAGTTTTTTTAGGCGACGCCTTTTCGCCGCGATCGAAACGCGAAATAACGTGTTCTCGTTCGAATTAGATTATGCACAGGATGTACAATAAATAAATACCACGACCATGCTGGATCGATTCTAAGCAAGGTTGCGGCAACGTTCATCTTGGCCGGTTTCTTTTCGCGAAACCAAAAAGTTAAACATTTCGTTCTACGTGTCGGAATTAATTCGTCGAGACTAGTTAATTAGTAATAATAATAGTAATAATAATAGCAACGATGCTTTGTTATTTTACAATGAATTTATTCGGTGAGAATTAGGAACATTTCAAGTCGTTACGGTTGCATAGTAAGGGAATGTAACGAGAGCGAGGATTAAGGTGTGTCTTCGCGCTTCGTAGCGCCCGCGGCATTAGAAATGAATCTCTGCGTTTGTTTCTTGGATTATGTAATACAGCTGTTAATTACGCTTCGATATAAAGCAATTGCGTATCGTCTATTTATTTTACGACAGATTCGGAAAGATTTATACGATGGAATTACAATGCTAATAGAATCTGTAACGTTTCGAATGAGATACTTAAAGGTTTATATTGTTTTTTATTATTATTATGAGATTGCATGGGTATAGTAAAATATTTTGTTGTATTTAGGGTTGCTGTTTTATATAAAAATAAGGAATACTGTGGGAACGACACTTGCGGTCGGCAAGCGGCCAGAAAAAGCTTGATGGATAAATTGAAAGAATATTGGAGAAGGAAATTAGGCAAATGTCGCGGATCTTGCAACGACGATTGCACCGACGAGGAACAATGTTTAGCAGCTATAAGTTATACTAGTAAGGACACGGTGGATGTTAGCAATAGTAGCCGAAGTTATCAGTAAGTATTGGGTTACCGTCACTAGGGTGTATTTGAATATTAGTATTAAATATAGTCAAAATAGTCAAATATATAGTTAAATATGTAGTCAAGTACATAGTCAAATATATAGTCAAATATATAGTTAAATACATAGTCAAATATATAGTCAAATATATAGTCAAATATATAGTCGAAAATTAGTACTCAAATGCATAGACAAATATAGTCAAAAATTAGTATTCAAATATTTCTATTTCTATTTATTCGGCTTCGACTTTTTAACATATAAATACCGACATCGCAGTCCCATGAAAATGTAGTTTCCAACAACATAATTATATATTTTTCCCATAGGAAGAGAAAATTTTCCAAATCGGTCTCGGCGAACTTTCCGAGCTACCAGAAGGAACGTATCAAAGTATGTCAGCACAAGTTTTTAAACGCATTAAGTTCTCAATCGCATTAAACTTTTCTCAGATAATGGTGAACTGTTTCAATTTCCAGCATATTTACTACAGCTCCGATGGCTCGTTAACTACCAACACCGAAAGCCCTCGCAAACCGAGATAATGAATGTCTCTTGCTAGTTAGTACGTACGTTGTAATAAATGAAACCATCCAAATAAAATTCATTTAGCATCGAGAATTACCGTCTTCGCTAATTTGTCGTACGTTACTTTAAACTTAACTATCTTCTATGGCGTATATTACATACATACAGTATAATTATTCGAGCCTTGCGTTTCGTTTTTACAGTCGAATAGTAATAATATAGTAGAATAATTGTATTCCCCCTTCCGAAATTGCCCATTTTTGTGCGCGATCCGAGCGCGAATTAGGCAGAAATTACTGTACTCATAAATGACCGTATTTCTGCAGGTGATCAGAGATGTCTGATTGATGCTAGGCACGTCGTTGAGACGAACGTGACCTTCGACAGGATGAATTCGACTTGAAACAGGTGAATACGACCTGCGAAAGGATGAATTTCACACGAGAATCGAGAATGCGACCCTAAACAAGGATAAATTTGAGAATGCAATATTTGGTCGAGGAAAGGACAAATTTGATCGGAACAAGGCGATTCGATGAGCCCGAAAAGATTCCAAGATGCTCGAATACGGCCCACGGAAGAAACATAAATTCCGAGAGCAAAAAGCAGCGCGACCCGGACCACCCGGCAACATTTTGAGCCGGCAGGGAGAACCGGTAGCAGCATCGGTCCCGCGTCCTTTCAATCAAACCGGCACCTCCGCGGCGACAAGCCGCGGCTGTCGGAAGTGTCGCCGTCGGGCGTTTTAATTTTATTACACCTGCATTCGACAGGGGGGGGGGTCGGTTCGCAGTCGATCGCACTTCGTTATGCCGGCCGCGTACGTGCCCGGCTGCATTCGGCGAACGCAGTCTCTCTCCTGCGGCGCGGAGGCCACGCGCTGCAACTTGTTGCAAGCGGACCGCGAAGCGGAATGCGGCGCGGCGCGGCGTCCGCGGGTTTATCAGCTTGCTCCCCGAGCGGACGGGAGCGCCATCTGCTCGCTGGGTGCCGCTTTGCCCCCGCGAGAGGGTCGAGCAGTGTCGCGCGATACGTCGAACGACGAGGGTGTTTCGCAACGTCCCTTAACGCGGCGGCGGTGGTGACACGCGGTGCTCCCTTCGACGATTCTCGCGATTTAATCGTTCCCAAACGATTCGTTCCCGCTTCCCGCGTTCGCTCGAAGCAGCCGGCGTTTCTCCGAATTGTTCTCCGTGCGCTCCGATTTTATATCGCGCGCGGTTGTTGTCGTCGCTTCGCTCGAACACGTGTCGACCGCGGTTTTCATTGTCGCAAGTGATATCGCGATTCGTACGTTGCGAACGGCTGCTCTCGCGCCGTTCGCCGATTCTCCCGCGTTTGCTTTTCTTTTTTCGAAACGAGAACACCGGCTTCCGCGAGCGAGATCATCCCCCGGTCGCTTTCCAAGGGATGGATTGATAGGAGGCGGGCGGAGACGTCGCGTTCGGTTCGCAGTCGTGTGTCGGTAGAACGTGTGTCGCGGGCGTTCGTGAGTTGGTTTTCGAACAGTGAGAAAAGTGCGGGAATGCGGCGCAGTTGACTCGTTCTTGAATTAGTTCGTGCCACGGCCCGACCGGGACTAATTTCGATCACCGAACGATGCCCGCTGCGGGCAGATTCTCCTCCGGCAATCGCGGCTCGCGCGTCTGCTATTGACTCTGTGCTGCTGTGGAGTTTATTCGAGGACACGATGGGACTTAGAAACCACGGGAAACTGGGCCTGCTGGTCGCTGCGACGATCCTCGCCGCTGTCGTAAAAGGTAGGATCTGTTGCACCGTTTCACGACGTTTCACCCGAAATATTGTAGACGCAGTAATTTCTTCTCGATTCGCGGGATTTCGACAATTTGCGGAGAGGGGGTGCGATTGTTCGAGCCTCCCGGCTCGTTTTTATAGTCACCGAGAGTATAGTTATAGGAAGAAATTACTGTACGTCTATAAAAATAACGGGGTTTGCATGTTCGCTTTGATTTCTCGCCATTTTCGTTGTAATACGAACTAGAAACACGTTTGTAATGCGTGTATAAGAAACAGAAATTGTCTCGTGCTATCATGGAAATCATCGGTGACGTTGATCGCGATCAATTAAATAATTATCAATCGTAAGGGTTGATGGAATTTTTGCTTATTGCGTGTGGTATACTAAGAGAATTCTAAACGTTTTTTCTTTTTTTATGCTATGAACCCAAACAAAATTATTCTACGGGGTGTTGCCGGGTCAAATTGTCAAACTTTAGATGTAAATTATGACTCAAAAAACAAAAACAAGTTTTTCCTCTGGAATGTGTAACGGTTAACTGAAATATCAGTGTTTCCAAGATATCGACGGTTGTTGCAATAAATTCTCCTAAATTGTCTTTCAGCTTGTAAATAGAGATGGACAATTTGGGGAGAGGGGATGCGATTATTCGAGTGTCGCAGTTCGCGTTTTTATAATAGTGCTAGGGTCACGAATGACATAATAATACAATTATAATAAAATAACATAATAATATAATAATACAGTATAATAATAAAATAATAAATAATAAAACAATCGAAGATAAGAATCCATTGCAATCAAAAGAATTCTGATCAGCGCAACTATGAGAAAAAATGTCACGGCAAGGGGTTAACGAAGAAATAGATTTAACCTCGCGTTTCTTGCGATTATCTCGGGCAATTCTGATTTTACACTCGCAATTCACGGGCCGAGCGAACGACGAGCGCAAACGAGACCTTTTCTCGCCGTAAAAATCGCGATCCCAAATGATCGACGGAATCGTGACCGAACTCGAGCCGGGAGCCGGGCTCGAGCACGGCACAAAGAGGGCGTCGCTCTTTTATTATGTTTACTATTTTTATTTGTAATGGAGCGAAAGTTGCGGCGCGTCAGGAAAAATACCCGCGCGCAGAACGGAACGTCTGAATGGCATTCTCTCTTCTCGCTGACGGTGATTGTGCCTTTTTTCATGGGGGGGAACCGTGAAAGGTTATGTTTACATTGGAACGGTGATACATGCAAAGAGACGACGGAAGCAGTAAGGAGAAGACTCCAAAACACATATTTATACAGGCTGCGTTTGTGTCGCGGGGAACACAATACAGCCGGAGCCCCATTGTTTCCCCGCGGTCCATTCCGAATGTTGCTGGTCGCGTTATTCGTTTTCAGGACCGCGGCGTGACCCGAGATCTCGTTTTTTCGAACACTCTATTTTTCTCGTCTTTGAACTTTTTGACAAGGGACGATTGTGCTCCCTTTTTTGTTTTTAGCCCGTCCTTTTCTCTCGCCCCGAGGACCCGTTCGTGAATTTTTATTCGAAAACGACTCGCGCAGCATTTCTTTTTCAGTCCCCGTTTCGTCCCCGTATTTTCGCCTCTTTTGAAACAAGGTCCAATCGTTGAACAAAGTACATAGTACGATTTCGCGTGGTTTGCGCGCCGATTAAATTGTTATTCGTAGACCGTGGATCTTCGCGGGTTTATTCGCAAATGCAAGGAAACGAATCGTCTGAAGATTTTCGCGGAAATGATTTGTTATAGTAGAAGATCACGTTTTCCGCCGCAATCCCCGGCGACGCTAAATTTTTCGCTTCGGACACGACGGAAACCAAAAATGTTTAATTAAAATCCGCAGCGAGCTTTCCCCCGCGAACCTCAACATTCATTATAAGTTCTCAAGGAAAAACTCCGCGCGGATTTTAAAAGAAAAATATAGTCCTCCGCCGCGGAAGTTCCTTCGTTCAGTACAATTCTACTTTTCCAATTAGCTGCAAAGAAACCAACAATTTTTAATTGCATTTCCCAGCGAGCCGCGGTCGCGGCCGCTAAAATATTCCGGCGCCGTTCAACCCTCGAACGGGGCGGACCTTTTTAACGCTAGATTTACGGAGCACAAAAAACAGCTGTTCTAATGAAAGCAACAATAAGACAAGCGTTGTTGCAACATTTGCCGCGAGTAGCGTATAAATCGAATAAATAACTCGTAAATGTATCTTTACGATACGGATACAGTAATGTCTCCCTAAATGACGCTTAGATTGTGCAGAAAAATGGACAATTAGGGAGACATTACTGTATTTAGATAGATAGATAATTTATAGACTTATTTACAACATCATACAAATTTAAAGCAATTAACTACCATTTTCTCTAACTTTAAAAATAGATTGCCATTTTCTACATCATTAATGGTAATTAATTGCTTTAAATTTGTATTATTTTATTACAAACACTTACAAACACTTACATATAATTAAATTTGATTTACAAAGGGACATTACTGTGATCGTAAATGAAAAAATTAGTGATCCGTCGTTTCGATATATAATTTATTTAGAATTTTAGACCCCGTTCGGATTAATACTCTTTTCTGTAGAATTCAATGCTGTATCCGAATTCGCAAAGAGATATTACCTGCTCCATTTAAACAAATTAAAGGGTTAGAGCACGTTCTTCGACAGCCGTTGTTGGAAACAACAACAATGTTTCCGATGGGATTGAATTATGCGTCGGTCGCGCGAGTTCCATCGAGAAAGCAGCGACGGTATCCATCGAAAATGATGTTTGCGTTGAAAATAAACAGCGCGACGTGCTCGGAAACCGCGAATACGCCGATACGCGGTCATTTTCCGCGTGACGACAACAACAACAACAACAATAATGATAAAATAAAAAAGAAAATAAATCGAGGAGGTTGCGCGGCCCGAAAATCGAATGGAAAAATGTCGAGGCGGGGTTCGTTCCGCGATCGCCGTCGTTTCGAATCCCGTTCCGGACGCCGATCTCATTCTGGACACGCGTGATCCGGATTAGAAATCTCTAGTTTCCCTGTTCCAGATTACCCGGCTCGTTTCGCCGCATGCAAAAATCGGGATCGAATATGAATGGCCGGCGTAGCCCGGGTAAAAACGACGAAAACGGGCCGCGCGCGGCTTTGAACATTTTGTTCCCTCTCGCGCGTTTCGCCGGGAAAATTTCTCCGGCTCCGTTTTCAAATGTCGTATTAATATCAAATCTCGCGTCGAGAAAGTATCTCTCGGATTTCTGTCCAAAAAACGGCGAGAATCACGCGGTCGTCTTTCGGCTCGCTTCAGCTCGAGGCGGAGTTAAAAGCGAAACGAGAACTGCTCGGATCGAACTGCAAGTGTATAGTTTCGTCTATTCTTATAAAATGTATAATTTAACGAAAAATATCAAAATCCTACTTAACGAATTATCTGTTTCCGATGGAAATTATCCGCAAGATCGTATGTTTCTGAAATTTTCTGTTCGACGAGTATGCTCGTCGAAAACAGCTAACTTTTTTCGACGAAAATCTCGCATCGATTAAATTAAGCGGAGACTCATGTTTGTAATAAACGTAACAATTAACGATAGCTGAGTCGTTTACGATTGCGTCTTATCGATATTATCGATGTTAAATATCGACGAGGTATCTTCGCGATATCGCATCTTCGACCGAGAATTCGCCCGGGGAAAATGAAACGAAAATGGCGGTCCGAAATGGAATTTATAAAAAGGCAATAAGTCGAAGACGAGGAACACACACACATACACACACAGAGAGAGTCTTCTTTCAACTGGAACGGCGAAAATTACCATTTCGCTAGGACGAAGTTTCCGATCGAATTACATTCGAACGGTTTCTTCTGACGGCGCCGGCGGAATATTAATTCTTTCTTTTTTTTCGGGCCGCGCGGAGTTCAACATACCGAAACTCGGGCACTGAATAGCTCATCAAAGGCAAACTTCATGAAAATTCGAGTGGGTTCCGCTCATCAGACCCCGTTTCCTCGATTTTCAGTTCGGAGTTCTGTTTTCTTTTTTCCTTCTAGGACTCCACCCTTTCATCGTCCACCGGGGATCGATCCGCGTTTATATTTATTACTCGTTCGTCGCGTTAGTTTCTCCTAATTTCGAAGGGGCGAACGCATCGGCTGCCGGCGTAATTACGAGCATTTAAAACCAGGCGTGTGCGCTTCAGTTTGTAAACAATTTCCAACGTAGCCGGGTCACCGTAAGCCGAATTAATGGCACCACTTTTAATTACCCCTTTCGCTTGGCCTGAACTCTCCTCTCGCCCTCTTGCTCTTTCGCTCTCTCTCTCTCTCTCTCTCTCTCTCTTGTTCTCTCGCTTTCTCGTGATCTCTCTAGAGCGCTCTGTCTCTCGCGCTCTCGTTCTCTCGCTCTCTCCCTCTCTCTTTTGCCTCTCTTTCTCTCTCTCTACCTCTATCTTCATTGTACGGTTTAATTGTCCGTGACGATTACGTTCTTTTTGCTCGGAACGGTCGACGGGGGAAACTGAGGCTTGACGAGTAACGTGGAGCCTTCTCCTGTCGCTAATTCTTTTGCGAAATTGAGAGCGATTATCGCGGCAGTCGCGCTGATTAAGATAAGTTTACGATTTAACGACGACGCAAATGTCTGATAATTTCATTTCCAGAGCAATTCTAAAGTTAAATCTAATTAATAGACCGCGGATTATTATGCAGTGTCTTTTCCCTCTATTTATTTATCATCAGCTTAATAGTAATTAGCGATAACTTGTCGGATTACAGTCTGTAGGATTACATGTAGATGCGATGTAGGATAGATATTCCAGTTTTCTCGAATTAAAAACGCGCAGAAAAAGAAAAGCGTTACATGTAAATCGTCGAGCTATTTTCTTGTTACCATTATGTTCACCTATCGACGTAAGATTCGAATAAAAAATTTCAGTGGGTCGCTCCTCGTTGAAATGGAATGAAAGGGAAGAGATTAAGGTAACGGCTGTTTAGAG